AAAAAAAAAAAAAAAAAAAAAAAAAAAAAAAAAGAGCGAAAGGAGAGAAAGGGAGTTGGTCATGTGTCAGTTTAAACTATTGAATCTATTTTGGTTTAAAACGTTATCAGTTTTGATGTGAGGAAAAGATAAACAGATTTGTCTTCCTGAATTGCCCTCGTGAATCACGGTTATCATCTGAAATCACTTGAAGTTCCCTGGGATAAACCCACTCTACCATCTGTTGTCCTTGGGAATAGATTATACTCTTTTCTCCAGATATAATCTTTCAGGTCTCGTAAGGTTCTGTACAGATGCACCTAAAACCAGACTGGGTTCAGTGTAGAAACAGGATGTCCCGAAACCCCCCAGTGCCTGACATTCGTGAGGGTACTTATGGAAAAGCCTAGAGTTGGCTCCTTAGTTCTGTTTCGTCCTCTGGATATGTGTCCTAAGGGGAGCTATGAAAGAACCCCAAAAGTTGAGTCGTAGAGGATTTTAGTGCAAGGCTGATGGGAGAGGTAGCCATAAGCTATACCAGCCAAGTCTGCAGTATAAACCATTGCTTGTGATTTTTATGATGAATAAGCACATCCTTTTGATTAAATCACTGTGAAACATGAGCGCATTATACACACAATAGCATAAACACATTAGAATATTTTCTCTCCCCTCTTTGCTGCACTTGTCCAGTGAGGCAGTGCGGTGCAGTCGTCTTTCTCACAGAGGCCCCGCTCGGCTTTCGCTGGTGCTGCTCGCCCGTGGTCTTCCCGCCGAGCAGGGACGCGCCACAAATCTTKTGAGGTCTGAAATTGTGAGATCTGAAGTCTCCCAAATCTTGTGAGAYCAAGAAATTTTTCCTTGAAAGAGGATAAGGCCGAGGAGCACCAAGCAGAGGCACCCAAGAGATTTGTTAGGAGGCCTTCATCTTGGGTAACTCTGCCCGGGAACAAATGAACAAGACGCTGTGGCCACCTGGGCCTAAGTCCTGCAGGCGGACGCCCTTTTTAACTCAGCCTGCTTTGCTGCTAGTGGAGAGCAAAATCACTCTTCGTCACTATAAGGGCAGCAAGGATCCTATAAAGAAAGCGTTTTGCTTATATTTTCCGTTTCTCCTGCAGTGGTTGTTGTTAAGTCATAAATTTATCACAGCAGGAGCTTGCCTTGTTTGTAATATTATATCATAGTGACTTACAGAGATGGAAAGAAAATCACTTCCACGCAGTGCCAATTTCCAACTGAAATCTCATCAGTTTATCCAAGCATCTTTTTTTGGAATCTCTCCCAAGAAAGCGTCACAGGTTTTGACAATTATGGCTACATTCTTCCACCCATCTCCTTTGACAGATAGATCTAAGGCTCCTTTGACCACGAGACGGTACCTTGTAGGGTGATAGCACAGTTGGCTGAGCTCCCCACTGTAACTTTGCTGCCCAGATCAGAGATGGAAGACTTAGCTAGCATCCAGTAGTACTGATTCTCCTATTCTTAGTAAATCAACAATCTTAAATTATTGATCTGCCATTTTTTCAGTAGCTTTGTTGTTGATTCGATGTTTGCATCTTCTGCTTTTGTTTTCCATCATTAGGCTTATTTATTTATTTGATCTCGCATTCCTATTGTCACAGTCTGGTGTTATACTTAAGAGCGTGGTGAGGTGTTTCATTTCCACTGGTTTTGAAGAGTTTATGATACATTTCTGTCTCTATATAAAAAATGATTCCAGGTATGTTGCGGTGCTCTAGCACTATCTTTGTTTTTTTCCAGAAAGGAATTTGAAATAATCTAAKTTGCAGATATTTTTGTGTCCATGTGACAATGGCATGATCAGTAAAGCTGCTCAAGTTTAAAGACGAAAATAATCTGTATGCTGCCTTAAAAATACCTGTTTTTTTTCTAGCTCAGGCATAGGAGAGTCAAGAATATAGGGGTAATGGGCTTTTTCTAGCTTTGAAATAACATTAATGCCTGTGAACCAAGTAAAAAGTATTGAAGGATTTTGTTTCTCATTGGGGACTAAGTTATCCCTTCTGTGGGGAAGAATAGAAAGACACAGAAGAAATGGGAAGGATTCAAGGAAACCAAGAAGCTAACCTTGCAAAGGTCCTGCAAAATGCTTTACTTAAGGAGAAGTCTCTTCAGTTTCAACGTGTATTTATTACGCTCCCTGTTAAAGTCCCTGAATCTCGGGATGTGTGAGGACAGTGTTATGTGCTTGGGTAGAGCTACAAAGATAGATGAAGATGCTGTCTCTGCCTTGAATCACTTGCTATTTCTCTTCAAGAGCTGATGAGCTTTCTGCCCAAAGGCCTTCCTTATTTTCTTATTCTTCCTGTCTCTCTAAGAATTGGGAGAGTTGAAAGTGGTGGTCTGATAGGCAAGTAAAAGAAACAAATAGTTATAAAATTATATTTCTAATAAAGCTCAGAAAAAAATAGAGAAAATATTCCCATGTTAGAGTACACGAAGGTCTTATTTTTGGACCTATCACAGAACAGTTGAGGTTGGAAGGGACCTCTAGAGATCATCTAGTCCAACCCCCTGGCTCTAGCAGGGACACCTAGAGCATGTGGCACAGGGTGGCATCATGTAACTAATAAAACAGGAATATCCATGAGAATTGTATTGTTCTTGTAGAGGTATTGCTGAATAATGGCTGGYGTGAGGGCTTGCGTCACACACCAGTCTTCTTCCCTGAAAATCTGTATTTAAATATTGTTTATGGATGCTCTTTTCTCTGTAGATACTGTTGTTAACAGTGATCCTAAATTATACTATGGCTTGGGACTCGTCAGCATAGTACAAAGCATTATGGAGGAGAATTAAATCGCGATTTAGATCCTTCTATATCGACAAAGTCAACTTGTATTTTAGCGAGACTGGAAAACTTGTCCAGGACCCCCAATACCGTAACTTTTACAATTTAGGCAGGCCTGACTTCTGTGACTCAGCCAACCATGTTTTTTTAATTAGATCACATCCTAAAGGAAAAAATGTTACTAAAACATCTGAAAATATAAAATTGAAAATGTTTTGGGCTTTTCTAGGAATTTTTTTCGTATATAAAACCATCCAAGTAAAATACAAAAATAGCAGTATTGCTTGTGAAACTTGCCT